TTTAAGGTATTTCGATTTTATAATGAAATTTATGCATGAGTTGTATTGCACTGTTTATTGTTTTAATTGCCTCACTAAGTATATACTTAGCGTGTGATGATTTTCACGTGTAGGTAAAAAGCCCGTAGAGGAATAGAGAGTTCAAGGCAACATCAAGCATCAAGAAGTATATTTCTTTATCAGTAAGACATCCTAAGATGTAATATAGAATTAATTAGTGGCATGTAATTATTATGTTTTATTTTCTTTGTTGAACAAAATTGGAAACAAAATTGAATTTTATGAACTTATATTTCTTAGCCAAATTTCTAGAATGAAAAAGGGGAACTGATTCCCCCCAACAGGGAACCGATTCCCCCACTGTTCACTGTTACTGTTTATTGTTCACGGGTACTGTTCATAAAAAATCTTTTGAATTAAATTGGTTACAACGAAACATGATTTATATGATATGAAATTTTTATAATATCATTTACCATTTTAAGAAAATAAATTTTAAATCGCTTTTGAATTGTAAAATGGTTTTAAAAATTCGGATAACATATATAATCTGTATAGGTATAATTATACAGATTATGGATGTTACAAGACGTCCTCATCACAAAGGAATAATATCATATACCGACCAGATCTCCTCAACACAAATAAGTAGTGCCATCCTCAGACAATCAGACTTCCTCATCACGAAAGAATCGTGTTATCTCCAAATTATCCCTAAAGAAGGCTAGACGTCCTCATCACGAAAGAACAATGTCATCCACCGACCATTTCTCCTCAACTCGAATAAGCAGTGTCATCCTAAGATAACCATACTTCCTCAACGCGAAGGAACCGTATTATCTTCAAATTATCCAGACTTCCTCAACAAGAAGGAGCAGCATCATATAAAAGCGGCAAGAACTCTTCAACATGGATGAGAAGTGTCATCTTTAACACCCAATTATCTCTAGATTGCTCCGACGTCCTCAACGTGAAGGAACAATATCATTTTTAAATCCTCTATTTTCAGACAAAGAATTGGCGATCCAGATGCGGAGCAAACATCATAGCTTGACAAAATTAGGTCATTATTTTTCTTTGCTTCATCATTGTTTACATAATAGATGAGCAAAGAGGGGCAGCTGTAATACCCTAATTTTGTTCTAAAATTAAAGACGGAGTAAAATTTAAGGACCAAACTCACATTTTTACCTTTTTTGTAATTTTGGGGCTTTAAAAGCCAATCAGAAAGCAAAGTTGGCTCTTTCTCCCCCAATTTTTTGAAAAGGAAAATAAAAAACTTGGTTTCTCTCCTCAATGTATGTTTTCTTTCTTCCATGCTTATTTTTTTTCTTAGTATTAGCATATAAAATATGGTAAGAGTAAAGGGTAATGAATTGCTAATTTACATTGGGTAAGGAGTGCCTTCACCAGCGGCTTAACCGGCGTAAAGAACGTCAAAGCTGGAGGCCATTCGGTCGCTTGGAGGAGGAAGTTATAGTTCATTAGGGGCTCGTTTATGTTTTTTAAAAGGAGGAGCTGTCTGGTTCGGCTGTGGGCTGAGGTGGCGTCGATGGCCACCATAGGTGGTGGCTGGTGAAAGCTATTGCCAAGGTAAGACGGTGAGAGATCTCGTTTTTGGCTCGGTTGGGTAGACCCTTCGACCATCCATGTGCTGTGGGGCTCCAAATGGGGTTGTCGACTAGGTGGGTTCTGAGAGGGAGAGAGGTCGCGTAGAGAAGGAAGAATGGGGGAGGGTATGTCTGTTTTGTAAATTTGGGTTAATCACACATAGGCCCCGGGGTTTAGCGTTATTTCACGATCTAGTCACCCGTTCTGTGGGCTAATCACCCATAGGTCCTCCCAGTTTCATCGTGTTTCACGCTTTGGTCACTATCGGGGGAAATTAACTTTAAGCCCTCTGTATTTTAGCCCTTTTTGCACTCTGGTCACTTATTTTTTTATTTATTTCAAATATGCATGCTGATTTTACTAACTTTAATTTGGTTACTATTCTTCTATGTTATTTATTCCAAGTTAACTACTAACTTTTATTTCATTGAATATTAACCACTAACTTTTATTTTATTGCACTCTAACCATTGTTATTTATTTATTTATTTGTTGTTTCTAATATTCGATTCGACCTTGTGGTGACCCAATTCGGGGTATGATCCATATTATTATGGTATGGACTCTACTAACTCCTAACTTTTTTATCTTTATTAATTTGTTTGAATTATTATTTGACCTTGTGGTGACTCGATCCGGGGTATGACCCACATTATTATGGTTCGGACTCTACTAACCACTAACTTTTTTATTTCATTTTATTAATGTGTTTGAATTATTCAATTTGACCTTGTGGTTACCCGATCCGGGGTATGATTGACATTATTATGGTCCGGACTCTGCTAACTTTTCTAACAGTTGACATTTTCTAACTGCTAACAGCTAACTTTTCTAACAACTAACATATTATAACCGCTAATTACTAACTGCTAACCTTTATTTATTTGTTTGTTTTATTTTATGTTCGAACCATGTACGACCTTGTGACGACCCACCTCGGGGTATGACTCGTATTATTTACAGTTCGGGATAAATAATAAAATTCGATATTAACATTTTATTTTTATTGCATTTTATTTCTATTATTTAATTTTATGCACTTTTAAATTTATGCATTTTATTTTATTTATTTAATTTTAGTCTTTACATTTTACTTGCTTTAATGTTCTAATTGTTTATTTATGTCGTTTTATTTCTCGGTGCTTTAATTTTATTCCTTTAATTATGATGTTTTATTGTATGTTTATTTTTACATCTATAATTTAATTTTTGCATAGTTAGATTTTGTTTCCTTACATTTTTACCATGTATGGATATTATATATTTATTCGTATTATTTATGTATGTATATATTCTTTGCTCTTGGGAATTGGTTTCGAACAATTGTACAAAATGTTTGTGTCATTCATTTTTAACGTTTTTTTACTTTAATATTTTTCAAAAACACGTATTTGTAGAATGGGCGTGGAAAGCATTGTTTGGTCGAAGTAGTGCGATCTGATATGACATTCGAACGAAATGTGAACTCGAAATAAATTGAATATATTTTTTAAAAAAGTGATAATTAATTCATTTTTATTCAAATGAAGCAATGCATTTTTTATAATTTATTTTATGCAATTATCGATAGTCGATCTGTATTCGATTTGTGTTTTTTGATAACGTTGGGAGGGGACATTTCTCGTATAAAGGATAAATAAATGGGATAGTTTTCCCATTGGAGGATGTGCAAATTCCGTGATTTCTTCTCAAACTAAGAAATGTTCCCTAATAATTAATTTGAAGCAAATTAATTAAACTTTAATAAATGAATCATATTCTAAATTTATATTCAATTTATAATTTTCACTACCGCGATAATATGTAAGCAACTAGGTACCAATTTTGAGTGATGTGGGGGTGCTTATCCTTCCCCACACGTAACCGACTCTCGAACCCTTTAAGTCGAGTTTTTGATAAACACAGACCAATTTTTGTCTTAAAAACTATTTTTCTTTAAAATTGTTTTAAAGGACTTTTTAGGTATTCAACCTACCCAGCCCAAAGGTCGGTGGCGATTCCTATTTAATTTAATTCAAATTAATTCAAAAATCTCTATTTTCTTTAAATAAGTCATTGTTTTTTTAACTAAATTGTTTTAAAAAAAAATGGTTATGACAGCTACACAATTATGATTGCATCGACAAATAACCTTTTAACAAAAGATGAGATTTGATTATACATGACCACCGACTAACCAATCAGAAAATAAATGTTGTGATGGATTGTGCGAAAACCAAAATGACCACAAAAGTATAAGAAAAAAAACGTATTGAAAACCATGAGGATCGTGCCACTAGAGCAGAAAAAATTATGTCACAAGAACAGAGATTCTTATTCAAAATTAAAATGACTAAAACAACATAAAAGACAAATAAAAAAATAAGAGAATTATTATTCTCCGATGATCGGCAATCTACACTAAGATTAATGCCGTTGCCAGCTAAATAAAGATTAAAAAAGACAACATAAAAATATTAAACGAAAATTAGGTTAAGAAAAAGGAGAGACAACTAGAGTTTAAGACACTTCTAACAAAGGAAAGGAGTCTTGTGGTATGAAATTATCAATTCGAAAATTAATTAAAAAATAAATTATTTTTTAATGAATGCTAGTTGAAACAAAAACCGAATTACCTTGAATATGTAGTATTTGGGAAGCAACTGAAGTCACATCAAGAGCACATCTCGCCAATTTACTGAAAACTATCATGGTAAACGAAGGTTCCCATGTGATAACAGTAACTTCCATGTAAATAGTTTAATTACAAAACTTTAGAAAGAGACAAGACACATTGTTTCTACAAAATAGTATTTGGGAAGCAACTGAAGTCACATCAAGAGCACATCTTGCCAAATGTACAATTCCGGAACCATCCCAAGACACATCAGGAGCAAGTCTCGCCAATTTACTGAAAACTATCATGGTAAACGAAGGTTCCCATGTGATAACAGTAACTTCTATGTAAATAGTTTACATACAAAAGTTTAGAAAGAGACAAAACATATTGTTGCACAAACTATATGTAGATCTGGAAAATATAACAAAATGCTGCAAAAGCTTTAATCACAGCATGTCACCACCCAAAGCAAAAAAGACACTAGCTGTTCTGAAGTACAAATAAAAAGACTCCTTTCAATCTATTGAGACAGCCATTTGTTTTAACTTCTCAATTCTCACTCTTTTCCATGTCTATATTATATATATATAACTAATGAAGTATAGAGGGGAATGAGGATGAGCTATCCTTTTCAAGTTGTCTCTTCACTCCTTTCTCCTCCTATCTTCACTGTTAATTATACCCTAATATATCAGCTAAAATCCCTAATCAACAAGTGAAGTTGAAAATCACCAAGCATGAAAATGAAAACCCTTTTTTTTTCCCAGATTTGTATTTCTGTGTAGCAGCTGCACGAGTGTTGTTCCTTTAAGCCAAATTGTAGCTTGAAACTGAGACATCAGCTGGAGAAGTAGAATGGATGTATACAAACTCCAGACTCTTTCCGGCCGGTAAAGAGTCGAGCCATGTTGGGAAACCATAGGAGTTGCCGGACTTGACTAGACCCCATAGAGGACCATAAAGCTTTGATATTGAGAGCTTAAGATCCTTGAGAGTCTTGTAGGATTTGTTGGTCACTATTGTGGAATATCTGTAGTAAGTTTTTCCTCTGTCATTCCAGGAAGTTGTCAACTTCTGTTCTATGGTAATTGGACTAGCAGATGAGGCTGCCAAATATTAAAAAAAAACTACATCAGATCTTGCAATTTAACAATGTTCAGGGGAAAATCTTGAAGGAGAAGCAAAAATTTATACCAGGATTCGATTTTGGGGCCGGCATTTGTTTGGCAACAACAGGATTAGGAGCTGGAACAACCACTGCAAAACCAGCCAATGTCATGAACATCATGATCGATGAAATGATCGAGAATTCGAATAAGTAATAATAATGCAACTTAAGAGGGATTTTTTTGCTTTATATACCGGGAAGGAGCTGGTTATAACCGCCGTGACCACCACCAAGTCTAGCCAATATGCCAAGAAGAGGAGCATTGTTGTAGGTAGCAGGCTCTGTTTGTTCATAATTGTCCCTTTCATCAGCAAAGTTATCATATGCATCAGGTCCTCCCACCAGAGCACCGGTGAGGACATTGGGATCGCTTGCTTTCCTCGAATACCAAGTGGCATAGCCTTGTCGGCAGGCGACGAATTTGGCGTCGACCTTGATCGAAACAATAGAAGAACCTCGGTGGTGAACCTGTCGTGGGAAATTGTTCCCATAACCAACCATGTAACTTGTAGCTCTTGGATTGTCTCCAAGAATGTAATCCACCTGAGAATTCAACATTGCAAAAACATCAGGAACAAGTATCAAAAGGCTGAACTTGTCACCATTCATACATGAAGAGAATGAGTAATCAATCACCTGGGATTTGGCAAAAGAAAGAAGCTCGGACGGTGCAACATTGCCAGCAGCACACTTCAAGGTTCCCCTAGAGGAAGTGAGGTAGTCGGAGAAGACGGTGGCCAAGAAGGAAGCGCTCGTCACGAACTGCATGTTATTCCACCTCTGTCGGAAGATCAAACCGCCGGGAGTCTTCTGAATATTACGGCCACCCTTTCCAATCAAGGAGCACATGAAGTACTCTGCCTTCTGGTGGTACCTCTCGAACACTGGTGCATGGAGACCAGCTTTGCCTTGCATCAAGAACTACATAGGAACAAAATCCAGTGTTAAAATTTTGAAAAAATCATAAATAAATAGATGATTGTTAGATTCAGATATTTGAAAGACGTACCTTGGCGACAAGGGTCTGAACCCCAGCGTACTTGATATCCCAACCAAACTCAGTCATGGCCCAGCCGGTTCCACCCATCGAGTCACCATTCTTGCCAAGATAGTTCAAGTAGTACTCATTGTTACTAGATTGGTACAGCCATGCAGCGGCCCACAACAACTCATCCTACACAAAAATCCCAAATTAATCAATAAATCGTACAAAAGGAAAGATGCAACTTGCCATTAATCAACCTTTTGCTTTCTGATTATCTTGGGTAAACTACACCTTTAGTACTCAATTATCACTTTTATTTTGTTTTGGTCACCTAACTATTTTTTTCAAAATCATGAATGTCGTTTAGTTTTAGTTTCATTTCAGTTAAAAATTGAATGACCAAAATAAAACTAAAACGTAACATTTAGGTACTAAAAGTGTAATTTATCCCCTTTTTGAACTAAACAGCATTGTCAAATTGTTTGCTTTAAGAAAATTTATGAACGGAAAAATGAAGCTTACATTGTAGCCACTGATGGATCGGTAGTATTTCTGGGCAACTGTGATGCTTCTGTCGTATTTACCTCTGTATTTATCACCGAATTCAAACAGCTGCAAACAGAAAACTAAACTTAAAACTTCTTTTTGACAAATAAACATAAAATTTTTAAATGTCATAATAATGTAAAATTATTGATTTTTTGTTGAAAGTATGAAAAGGTAGGGTAGATGTAGCAAAATGAGGGAAGAGATAAGGGTAATTTGGGGATGTAAGTTTAATTGGGAGAGCACCGACAACATTCGCACGTTTACAAACGAATAATTCATTGCGACCTTTGCGGTACAAGTGGCGGTTAGGATGTGCTAGTACGATAGATCTTTACGGTTAAAACTGTGTTTAATTAACTATGAAAAGCTTGAGTGTTCCCAACTCATTATACAAATTATGAGCCCAAAAAAAATTAATACCCAATTTTCAATTTTAAATCATAAATACAAATTAATCCAAAAAAACAAATATATTTAATCGATTGATTAAAATATTAATATTTATTATCTTATATTTTTTCTCATAAATTCTAATCCTATTAAGGATATTTCCTTTCCTTTCATAAAACCCTTTTATATTTATTTAAATATAAAAATTGCCTCACGTGTAAAACCTATTAATCTTTTTTTTATTTTTTTTATTAATCTTATGAAATAATATCTTAAGGTTGTTGTATACTAATCAATCATTTATTAATAAAATCATAAATAAATTATTAAATAATCTAATTATTATTATTGATTAATAGAATCATATAATTATTACAGTTTATAAATAAAATGTCCTGATTATAATTAAAAATTAATATTTTATTTTTATTGACGAAATTTTTATTTATAGAAATCAACAAATTGAATGGTTCATTTATAATTTTTAAAAAAACTCAAATATCTATTTATAATAGTATTAATAATTAAATAAAATTTTTGGTATAATTTATTTTTTAAAAGAAAAATAGAACTAAACAAAGAGGGTTGTTTCCATTTAATGAAACTAGCTTCTGGGCCCGCCAAGTTGCGAGTTGGACCAAAAAAAAAGTGCGCAAAATAAGAACCGATTTTTCACCACCTTATGCTAAAACAAGCAGAGAGTGTGAGATAACATGCACCGGCGGGTCCAATGGTCCCAGAGAACCGTGAGCTAAAGGGAGTTAAGAGAGACTGCGAAAATATATACCTGGTAGGCATGGCGAAGAAGCTCGCCGGAATATGCAGGGTTGGAGCGGCGGAAGACGATTGAGGCAGCAGCCATGGCGGCGGCGGTTTCACCAGCCAGATCCGACCCCGGGTTGCTCGGGTCAATCTTGTAAGCACGACGGTCGGTGGTCATGTCCTCCGGTCTTTGCCAACAGTAGTGGTCGCTGTTACCATCTCCCACCTAAACATTTAGAACTAAATTTAGGCTATTCTCAACAAAAACGAACCTCTTTTTAATTTAAGTATTATTTTAGTAGTCAAGTTTTGCTATCGAAATATGATTTGAAAAGGATATGAACATATTAGTGACAAAAATAACATTTGTTAGTTTTACAACCATAATAAACGCAAATGAAAAAACAAGAATACCTCTCCGTAAAGGACATAAGGTTCGGGGTGAGCTTTAATGAGGTAATCAGTTCCCCATTTGACGGCTTCCATGGCATGGCCGAGCTCGCCGTTCGCGGCCATTTGTTTGCCGTACTCTATAATGCTCCACGACATCATCGTTATGGTGAACGCCATGGGAAGTCCAAACTTCACATTGTCCCCTGCATCGTAGTACCCTCCAACCAGATCCACCTGTAGAAATCAGTAAAAACCAATTTCAACAAACCCCCACAAATTTTTTCAAATTCAAAACCCGAAAAAGAAAAAGGAAAATGAGATTGGGATTGGGATTGGAATTTCAACATACACCACTAGCCTTGCCATCATTCAAGCCCGAATTAGCTCTCCACGTGACTCTCTGGTCATGAGGAAGGAAACCAGATCTCTGAGCTTCGAAGAACAGAATGCTCTTGCTCAGAGCTTGGTTATAGTCATGACCGGAAAATGCACGAGGAAGAACAAATAGCAGAAGCAAAGGAGCCATTGAAATGAGTTTCGTTAACGTCTCCATGTACACAAATCAAGTTTCGATTTCAAAAAAAGAAAAAACAAATGGTATTTCCTTCAACTTTCAAAAACTGAAAAGAGAAACCCAAATTAAACATAAGAAGGTAATGTGGGTACAATAAGTATCAGTTTGAAGTTCCTGATGAACCCAAACTGAGAAAGGAAAAAGAAACTGTTGAGAGAAACAGAGCTGTGAGATTGGGAAATGGAAGAGGAGCTCAAGCCTCTATATATTGTGGAGGGAGGGAAGAGAGGTTAAAAATTGGAAAAAAAAATAAATAATTTTTTCACTTTTTTGGAGGAGAGGAAAACGGTTGAAAGAAAGAAAAAAAAACAAAGGCGTCATGTGGGTGTCCCTGGAGCTTTCCTTTTCTGGGAAGAGTCGGTGTGAATTTGATGGCTCTTTGGCAGGAAAAATATGCTACTAAAGATGAAAATAATGTACGTATATAGTATAGTAAAAGATGATGCTTGATTCATTAAATAAATGAATTAATTTCTGTTTTTCTTTTCATTTTTAAGGGCTGCCTTAAGTATCAAGGTTTACCCAGGCTAGTACTATAAAGCTGAGCTTTTGGACCAGAGTCCTAATCCATGGCGATTTTATCGAAATATTATCCTGGGATAAAATAATTATTTATTAGATATTCTTTCTATTAATTTTATCGATCTAGTACATTCTCTGACAAGACGCAAATGACGATTCGCGTCTTTCTGGGATTTCGACCGAGCTGGCGTCACATCATAAAAGGCGCAGATGGTCATTCGCACCTTATCTGAACTGGCGACACATAAGGACAGGAACGGATCGTCATCCGCGCCTTTCTGATGTTTCTGACACAGTCCAGTAAGGCGTGGATAACCATTCACGCCTTCCATTAATACCCCAACCGTTCACACCTTATCTGAACTGGCGACACATAAGGACAGGAGCGGATCGTCATCCGCGCCTTTCTGATGTTTCTGACACGTGCCAGTAAGGCGTGGATAACCATTCGCGCCTTCCATTAATACTCCAACCGTTCACACCTCCCACATTTATAGGAAATTCGGCTAACCACCTCCCCTCTTCCTATAAATATCTCATCTCCTCTTCATTTAAATATCTCATCTCCTCTTCATTTAAACACAAACATTCAAACTCACTCAAAGCTCAAACTCTCTCAAATTTCAAATTTTATTCCGAATGTAAAATATTTTATTGTATTATAATAAATTAATAATTTATTATTTTATTAAATTTTATTGTATTAACTTTTTATTAATTTTTGTAGTTATAAAATGGAAGGTGATTTGCTACTTTTAGATGAACATTATATCTCGAGGCATTTTACAGATACGGTAACAATTTTAAAGTCTATTTTAATTTTAATTATTGCAAATATTTTATTTATTTAATTTGTTTAGTATTAATTTATATTTTAATTTCTATAATATTTATTAATTATGAGAGATATCGTATATTAGATCCATTCATTCGTAATCTTAAGTTAGAGATACCTACCCGTGTATGGTCGTATTTAGTCGATGTTGGATTCAATTACGTAGCAAAATATAAAGGGCACTGTAACCTTGAATCCAACCTTATTTCTGCATTGATTGAGCGGTGGAGACCAGAGACACACGCATTCCATCTTCCATGTGGAGAGTGCACAATTACGTTGGAGGATGTTTCCATGTATTTGGGACTTCCGGTAGATGGAGATGTGATTTATGGGGTGACGCCTGGTGACTGGCATTCATTGTGCAAGGAGTATCTTGGAGGTATCCCGCCTAATTTCAACGGTGGTCTAATTCCGTTAAATTGGTTGGATGTAACTTTCAAGCATTTGAGTGGCGACGCCTCTGAGGAGTAGGCTAAAATGTATGCACGGGCTTGCATGCTATAGCTCATAGGAGGGCTCCTGATACCGAACAAATCGCGCAACCAAGTTCATTGTATGTGGTTGTGTCACCTTGTTGATTTTCATCATGCTGACACACTGAATTGGAGCTCTGCAGTTTTGGCATTTATGTATAGGGAAATATGTCGAGCTACTGACTATAGAAAAAATACTATCGGCTGATGTCTCATTCTGCTCCAGTCTTGGGTGTGGTATCGCATGCCCTTTTTATGTCCGATGGTGAAAAACCAATTTGGTATTCCTGCTATTATTGAGGTAATTACAATATTGATTTCGTATATTAATAATTTTATTTAGTATATAATAAAAATTATTTCATTGAATAGGTGGTCAAGTGCAAGAAAATGTCATCGGGATTTACCTGATGAATTTGAAGAAATTAGGCTACTAATTGATCAGAAGGATGACATAGAGGTATGTATTTAAATAACAAAATTTATTTTTAATTATCGTTATATAATTGTATATATTTGTTTTAATTTGAATGGGCTCCTTATTGTACTAAAGAGATGAGGATTTACATCCCACATCACTTAAGAGACCCATTAGATGTTTGGATGGTGGTGGTCCCTCTTATGTGTTATGCTATTATCGAGTGGCATCCCACTGATCGCGTGCTCCACCAATTTGGTTTAGTACAATCTATTCCGAAGGCACCTAAGAATCTCGACAATTTGCATATTATCGATAGACGGGGCAAAAAAGAAGTCGATTGACTGCTGAAGCACTATGAGTGAGTAATGATATGGGAAGATCGAAGTGGGCGTATTCCCTGTACAGAATCCATTTATGTGGATCATTACTCAGTTGCGGATAATTATTATGAGTAGTTCAACTGGAATGAGAAACCGTTCATACTTTCCGAGGAAGCACGAGGAGGGAGCATTTATCGACGTTGATAAAGACTTTCAATGTCACAACATCATCGTCACCCGACTCATGAACGGAGAGCATGTGCTTTCAGCACCGGAACCTTCGCAACAACCACCGTCTACACCGTTATACATTCCACAGTCATTTCAGATGGCACCGTAGCCATATCAGATGACATCGCAACTATTTCATATGCCACTGCAGCCAGGTCAGACGCCATCGCTTCCATACCAAATGTTGCCACCGTCATAGAGTTATATGACCCCTCCTGACATATATTATAATTTCATATTTGTAGATCCAACTTGGGGTTCATATACTGGTTATTTAGCGGGTAAAGCTTCACCACATGCACATACACCTTCTGTACAGTTTTTGCACTCATCGATGTCGGTCTTTTCGTAGTTTTCACAATTTTCTATGAGCGGTTGGATGGTCAATCATACACCTCTAGGGTCCTTATTCTATGGAGGTACTACATCGTCATTCGTCCTTCATCAACAAACTGTATCTGCTCCTGATGATGATGATGATGATAATGATGGTGGTGATGATGATTGTGATGATGATGGTGATGATGATGATGATGATGATGATGAGTGAGGAGTTAGAACAAGTTATACGAAGAAATCCTCTTTGACACAGATATCCACCGCCCTATGGAACACATTCAAGATGCATGCATCGATAGAGTCATACACTTCATTATTTTTTATTTACCAACAATTGTAAATTTTTTATTTAATTATTTAATTATTTAATTATTATTTATTTTGTTTATTAATTTTTTTATTACTTAATTGTTCGAATATTTTTATCATTTAGTGTTTTTTAATTTTTTGTTGTATCGTTTCTTGTTTAATTAATCGGTGATGCTCAAATGACATTAACTGAAAGTAAATTAAAATTAAATTACAGAAACTTAGATTTCATAAACAACAACTAGATCAAGCACAATATCAACGGTTGTTTGATGACAAAAGAGATGTACATTTTTTTCTATTGTGTCATAGGTTTCTACAATGCCCACATCTTTTGTTTTCTCTGGACGTTTCCCAAATATCCATATCATAATGAATTCGAGTAGATTTTGGACGACTGGGCTCCCTCAATAAGGACGGATCTGGTACAATCGGAAGCTTGAACCTCATTGGGGCATTATTTATGGGGGGAACTCAAATTCATATACCTTACACACTTCTGAAAGTCAATATACGGGATCCAAAAAATAGTTATAGTCTTGACAGGTATTCGAGCAAGTTGCTATGACATGAGAGCATGGATACTTCAGAGCTTGAAAAAAACTCATAGTCGCACCAGCTGTCTCGTAGATTAACTGACACAAAATAATTCATAGGTTCTAGAGAAGCTTGTTACAGACATTTCATTTGATGCAACAATTTTTTTTGTAGATCTGTAACTAATCTTGCATGATAGACATGACCATTTTGTATCCAAGTTTGAGTTTGTCCCCCCGAGCTTGGCAAAAAGCGCTCACAAACAAAAATATGTTATTTTTACCAAAGCCGTTACTGGTAAATGGTGTACCCCTTTAAGGTCGAATTGATAACCTCAACCAATTTGGTTGTCATGTGTCCATATCGATATCCACCATCATATGCATTTATCCACATTTCTTTGTTGATAAGACTGATGTAATCGTATCCCTCATCGTTCTTTCCTTGCAACTCTTGAAACATGGACTCAAATGTTTCAGGTAGTTGTTAGTAACCTAAGCATCAAATGTATAACTTACTAACTTTGTTTCCATAAAAATGAAAATGATTGAGAAATAAAAAAAAAAGCATTTTGACATACTCAAGCGCACAAGTAATTGGAACTCATAATTCTTCTTGAACATTCCATGAGAGCTTGCAGCAATGTGTCAGATACAATATCGATGTTGGACATAGGGTGGTTTCCACATTGGACCCAAAGAATCCATTGATGCTTTGATCCTAGCTCCGCAATTTGAAATGACACAAAATTTTCCCTCGTGATAACATGTAAGCGTAAGTTTGTGAGGAAAAAACCCAAGAATATGTATATTCTCCTTCAACAAGGTAAAAAACAACTGGAAGTATGTTGCGATTATCATCTTGGATAATTGCCAATAGTAAAACTTGCTTGTATTTTCCATACAAGAATGTCCAGACGATTTGGACCACAGGCTTGTAGTATTTCACAGCATTAATGCACTATGGGTAAGTCCAAAAAGCAAGTAGAATTAACATCGATCGTGAAGCACTC